ATGGTTGATGAGCAGTTTGTCTCAATAGTGTACTTGGTCATCAGTGTGTAATCATTATCTAAAATAAGAAATGTTCTCAAGTAGCATATAGAGGAGAGACCCTTGTTATTTGAAATCAGCAAGTTACGTGTTACATTTTCAGTTCTCGTCTCATACTCCCTCAGTAACTTAACTTTTAGCGCCATTCCTGAATAACTCCTAATTTTTCCAGCATAGTCTGTCTGTTTTACAAGCATCTGGAGCACTTAAAGAGCTAGCCCTCTGCGTGTATCACTGTCTCTAATTGCAGCAGGATGGAAGGGAATGTGTTCAAGGTGGGCAGAGTTGTCTGAACTCACATTTAAGAGTTGGGGTGCTAGCTGATTCTTAAAACAAATTTGAATTAAACAGGAGAGCAGACACTGCTAGAGCAAAGACTCCGGCATATCCAGAGGACTGTGAGCTTGGGTGTGGAAATTGGAAATCAGGTGAGATTGGGGGGGGGGGGATCGGACTCTGCGCAGTTCTGAGACTCCAGCAGGGCACTGACCCAACAGCGTTAAGTATGGTCTGAAAAAGTAACAGAATGGAAGCAACACTTCAGAAAGATTTTTAGAGAAAATCTTGAGACTGTACATGAGATTTACTATTACATGTGTGCACAAAAGTTTGCATACAGCTTTAAGGAACTCACAACCTTTGTGAAGCCCATCTTCAGGCCTGGTGAAGAATCCTTCAACTGGAGACCAGGAACCATGATAAAATGAAAGGAATTTTATCCTGAAAGCCTTACCTAGGATGGTAGCAGTGGAGATGGAGAGGCATTTCTGAAGAAAACAAGTTTTGGTATCTGATTGGAGAGGGAGCTGGAAGAGGAAGCTGGAATAGTCAAAGATGACAATTTGGGAGACTGAAAAAAAGATTTTAATAATGAAAAAATTAGCCTTGGTTCAGAAAGGCTAGTATCTGTTTCGTGCTTTTATTAGTTTTGTATGCTTGTATTTATAATTGAAAGTCCTAGGGGAGAAAAGTGAAGAGATTATGTCTAAACACCCAAGTAAGAGAAAGTTTTAGAACTTTGGGCTCAAAGAGAACTACATGCTTGCTCAATTGAGCTCTGTGGGACAAGGCAAAATGTCCTCCTCACAACATCTTAAGCCAGGAATATGTTCTTTGAATTTACAACTTCTTAAAATAGGAGTCAATAAAAATTAAAAAAAAAAAAAGCAGCAAGTGTTTTCAAGTTAACTAGAGAGAAAAAAATTTTTTTTCTCCTCACACCACATTTCAAGTTTTGTATATTTACACTAGTTTTAATATGAATGTTTAGAAACTTGTAACCAATCGAGGTCGATTCTGTTATCCTTCATAAAAATTATATTGTGAATGCTTAAATTGTTGTATTTTATGTGAAACAATATTTTTAATCAAATCAAACTATAAAACGAACTGACTCTAAAGTTGGTCTGTTCTTCATTTTCTCATAATCTATAATCAGGAAATCCATTCACTCATGCTTTATAATTTTTGTGCTTTTAAGTGGTCAGGGGAATGTGACATCTGCATACAGTCACATCTGAATTGATCATTGTCCAGACGGAGGGTAACTTTAAAACATAGCATGAAGCAAGGTTGGGTCTGTATATTAGGAGGTTATTGAGAGGTAGTATTGCCCACCTCCCAGACCCCTGACTTTGAATGAGACCATTCTCTTTGGTGAATTTATCTTAAGGTAGGACAACAGCCTCAACGCAGGCCACAGCGTTCTGAGTGAGGAGGAGGCCCGCGGTTTCCAAGCCAGTTTAAATGCAGGCTCTTCTTAGCAGTAAACCACACGCATGTATTCATCATTGATTTTCAAATGATAGGTTTCTATATCGCTGGTTTAGGATCCACAGTCTTGCATTCCTGAATCTATATTATGCCAAAAGAATAACAACTTGGTGGCTGGAAACAGAAATGGTTATTATACGGCTCCAAAATGCTAGCTGGCACAATATGCTAAAAACAGCAGAAATTCACCGGTAAAAGGCAGAATTTATTTGTTCTTAAAAATAACTTTATGCTCTAAAAATGTGAATTTAAGAAGTGTCATCGTGGTTCAAAATATTTTATATTCGATATGTAAACACCTTAAAATATGTGACTAATCTTCTAAAATGGCATAATTTCCAAATAACAGGAAATATTCCAAGAGAAAAATAGAATGCTTTTAAAATCCATTTTTTTTTAGTTTTGAGGCATTTATTGGATGAAAAACTATAATGCATGTTTACTGTTTTTTTTTCCTGCTGCCCTAAATCATTTAAAAATGTGGGCAGAGAGATGGAGGCTTTGTTGGAATTTCTCAGAGAGTTTACTGTAGAAAAAAAATTTTTTTTATTTAAAAAAAAAAAAAACCTTTTCTCAGAGCATCCGTGAAGCATTTCCATTTTCGCACACTGGCCCAGTGCTTGTCATATCACAGGACAACACATTTCACAAAGCGGTTTTACTTCCTTTTAGCAAAATAACTCCTCCATGCAAACCAGTATTGGCATCTACCAAGCCAGGGTTTTAGTTTCTTCTGATCTATTCAAGCTTCATTGCACTGCTTAACTGACTTTTTCCCCCCCTTCTTTTGAAATTACCCACCTAATTTTCCATTTAATTGTTTATTTAAACCAGATCTCACGCAGGCTTAAGAGTTAAGTGACATATGTATTTAGTGTTTCAGACTGAACTTCGGCTGACAAAGTATAGTGCAGATTTTTTCTTGGTTTCCTCAGTCTCTTTTTATCCAGTAGAATATATTAATTAAAACTATAGCCTTAACATATTCACAAGAATGATTCAGTTAAGACATATTAAACATGAACTCTATTTTATCAAAAATTTTTGTAAGTAAGCACATTCTCTGTATCTGTCCTAGTGATACTAGGTAAATGTATCAGTTTCATGTGATAACTTTTGCCACCAAAACCTGTCCAGGTTAACTGGAAAAGAAAATTTTGGCTTTTGACATATTTAGCCAGCTGTAGAGAATTTAGCTACTTTCGGTGAAGTTTTCTTATAGAAGAGTAATTTATATTCAAATTCAACCAACATTTCCTAACAAACTACTGTGTACTTGACACATGTTTTGGTGGGGAGGGGAAGTTCGTTTATTTTTATTTTTTGCCCCAGTAACTTGGAAAATTTTACAGATGACCCAATTGACAGATTTAATCTTGTAGTTATTTGTTGTATATTCAGCCTGTTTATTCATGCATAAAATGAGACAGGTAAATGAATGGGATATGAAGAACAAATGTGCTTTATGTAGTTTGCCTCAGATGGATTCTAATTCAAAGGATGTTTCCATAAATATTTCCTGAAATATACCTGTGCTTTGCCTTCCCACACCCTCCTTGCCTCTAGCTCAGACCATCACTATAGTTTCCAGACTGCTTCATACTCCCAGACCTTCCAAATGACAGGATATCCCAATGCCAGTATATCTCTCTGTCCACTTTTAGAGGCCTGTGTTCCACCCCTGCTCTGCAACCTTCACGGGTCTGCATTTCCACCTTTAAACCCGAGATGTGTCAGCCTGGAAGTCAAGATCTCCATGTCCTTCCAAGGTCTTCGACACTCCTCTCTCTTTTCATGAGTTCCCTTCTAATGAGCTTGCTCACAGTGTCTCTGACTCCATAAATTCCCACCTCCGTCCTTTCCCCGAGCCCAGTCAGAAGCCCAGCTTCTGTCTCTTCTCTTTTTTCAAGGCCCACATCAATTCCTGCCTCTTAGATGAATGTTTATTGGATAATCTCTTCCCTCCGGGGAACTGGGTAATGCTTAATCTGGACTACTCTGTGGGCACCTCTCCCTAGGCTACCTTGTCCTGGTTGGCACATTTCACACATGCGTGATATTGGATTACCACAAAGAAATTGCGGGGCCTTGAGGACTGGGGCCACGTCCTTGCCTCCCCACAGGGTAGCGCACAGTATCATTCGTCCTGGGGTAATAGACACTTGGGCTTCGGGATAATGATAATGAGGACTGACAGACCGTAACACTGAGGTTTGACTGTCTCCTTTGGAGACCTTCAGAAAACACCTATCTAGTTTTCCAGCAAAGATTGTTGCATTGGGTGGTGGGTCTCTCTTCCTCTCCAAAGGCATTGGAAAAAGCCAGCAGAAGACATTGTGCGTCAGCTAAGTTTTCATCACCTCCCCCCCATAGCTCTTCTGTCACGGAGAAGTATATTTTGAATTATGAGAAATGGCATCCTTCAGCTATCCAGTTCTATTACTAGGGGTTTGAACATCAGATGTCTACGAAAACCCTTGCAGTGTCCACATCAGATGACTGTCTCTGTGCCTTGATGAATCAGTACATCAGTGGAGGCATCATGCCTTCATTTCAGCTCTTAAGAAGGAATCCTGCCTTTTGAAACTCTGCGTGAGCAGGAAAGCAAGCCTTCAGGTCAAGAGCTGAACTTGAGAGGAGGGCAAACCAGATGTAAGAAAACCATAAGGAGAAACCACTCCAAGAAAACGGGGACTCAACAGCCGACTGTGAAAGAGGATACGCCTCCTGCATGTCCTAGAAATTATAGTCTTACTGGTGTGCCCTTAAGGACACACAGACACACAAAATAAAACCCAAACCATTGAACCCAAAGAGTGAGTCACGCCAGCCAGACCTCTGCCAAGCTAGTCAGTTAAAGTGCAGGACCGACTCTGAGCTTTCCTTAGACCCTGAACACAGGTCTGACCTTCTTCATGAATTTTTAATAGGAAAAATATATATGTAGATTTCTGAGCAAGTTGGTATATATTAGCTCTCTTCTCATTAAACATTTTTAATCTTCAGAGAATATTTAAAAACTCACTGATTGGGTTACTCTTTACATAGAGGCTGTTGGTCATCCTACAGACTTTGTTGTATGTCTTACCTTGTTAAGCTTTTATTTTTAATCTTGTAGAGTCTATTCTCTAGATTCCTACTTGAGTCTAGATTTCTTCCTGAATGCTTTCGTTGTTTTGTGTTAACAGGGAACGGATATGGCAATCCCCGAAACTCACCAGGTCTGCTGGTCTCACCTGGTAACTTGAACAAGAATATGCAAGCAAAATCTCCTCCCCCCATGAATTTAGGGATGAATAACCGTAAACCAGATCTCCGAGTTCTTATTCCACCAGGCAGCAAGAATACGATGCCATCAGTGGTAATGCGACACTACATTTTAAATAAATGTTGATAATGTTTTGTATATGTTTTGCTATTTTTGTATTTTTCTAACATTCTGAATTATTTAGGTGCTCCCAGAAAATTAACATATCCATGCTATTGCTGGAGCCCACTTTGTATTTAGCCATTATTTCTGGTAACTGGTTCACATTTCCCTTTTCCATATTAAAAAAGAAAAAAATCCAATAAACTCCAGTATAAAACTCCTGTTTGGGGGCAAAAAATAAAATAAATAAATAAATAAGCATTTCTTTTTAAGGCCTCCAATTTATAATTAGAAAGAATCATTACTTATTACTATGCTTATGGCGCAAAGAGTTTGACCAATGGTAGAATCAAACTCACAGAATAGGGAATTTTACAACAGATTTTCATAATATTGAACTAGTTATGTCCTCAAGGTGCTGACAACCAAAGATCTTTTCCATAATTTCTAAATGAACATTCTCCTATGAATTGGCCATTCTTTTCTTGAGTATATTGCAGTGATAATGTTTAATATAGCATATGCCTGTGCACTGCCTCAATGCATCTTCCCATATATGTGCTTCATGCAAATAACTACCTCTCCAAAGCAAATCGTTTTAAAATTCTAGGCATTCTGAGAACAAAGGTAATATTTTACATCAAGAAGTGGGCACTGTAAAAAAACTAAATAAAAAATAAATAAGAAATATAAATAATATCCCTGGACTCTATCATTTTTCTTTCTCCTATGTCTGCAGGGCTAAGACAAAGATAATAATTGTGGGACCAAATTCAACAACAAAGAGACTTACATCAGTGTTCTCCAAATTAGCTTTGCTTAAGAGTGAGAACATTTAAAACCAAGATTCAGTAGACAAATTTAGATCATTCTGCAAACACATTTCTTTTTTTTCTTTCTGTGCTCTGTGGCAAGCTTCAGGGTAAAACAGTCCTGCAAGCTGATTAGTTTATTATGGCACAGTGCAGATTAATTTTGAATATCAACCAAAAAAAAATCACATAATATGCAACGTTCCCTTCGGAAAAGACTGGGTCTAATAAATAAAACCTCCCACAGGGCCATAGCCAAGCAGTGTGGGCCATGCATGTCAGGCTGTCTCTATCAGCAGATTTATTCCAAGTTCCTTAAAACTGATGCTCTCCCCGAGATGCTGTGAGTGGTCAGCACAGCCTCTCACCAGCAGCCAGGTGTAGTTCCCCCCTCCTCCGGCAAGTGGGGTTTCAGAGTACAACCTTTTTTATTTTCTTTTTTTCAAAACATGGTGCTGAAATAATGAAGGTGGAGACACTGACCTGTGCAGAAAACTGGATAGATTGTCTTCACATTTGAGACAAACAGCTCATTAAGAGAAACAAAGAATGTCTTTGTAAGGAGTTATCTGTAGAGTCTGGGTTTTAAAATTGTTTAAACTGTTGTGTCTATCAGAAAATGCTTTGCCTTTTGTTGGAAAGATTTTGCCCAATTATAAATATTTACAGACACTAATTAATAAAACTCCTTCCCCATGCTCTCAGTCTGAGGATGTCGACCTGCTTTTGGTAAGTAGTAAGAGTACTTCCCTTAAATGGCACATGTAAGGAGAAACCCAAGATGACTTTTAGGTGGAGTGGCTCTAGTAAACCGGGAAGATTTCAGAAGTTGCCATAGTATGTCAACATTAATCATATTTAAATGCCATTAATTTCAGGTATCACACACAGGTGAAAAGAATGTCAGGTTATTTATTTTTCTGTCTCAACCTTTGTAAGTGAAGACCATGTTTTCAATTTTATTTTAGGATTTATAGTAAAATTCTAACAAAAATAATTTCCTTAATTGTATAAACCACGAAGATGCTTATTTTTCTAAGAATTAACGTCTCATGATCTTTAAATGTATGTGAATCTTTAATCTTCTTGCTGTAAGGAGTTAAATATACATGTTAGCAGCTTTGCCATCTCCTTCGGAGGGAAGTTTAGATGAATCTGAAAAAAGTGGTCAGAGCACCACCTGCTGGTCAGAGTGTGGCATGAACTTATGCCCATCTGCTCTGCTGTGTATAGAACTGAGCATAAAAACCCCCGTGGTTGATTTTAATTTTTTTAATTTGCATTTGAATAAAAACTGAAACAATGGAGTACAGTATACATATTTCATCAGTTTTCAACATAGTCTGTTTTTTACCCATAATAAAGCTTATGGTACTTGTTACTAGTTCAGTTGCCTAGGAGATACTGATGTAATGGGTTACTATGGCAACAACTGGTCTCTTGAAGGATTGTAAATGATAGGGTTGGCAGAGTTCATAGAGACACATGTTAAATGATTAATTTCATGAGATTTGTACCAACTTATCTCTTTATATGCAAAACTAGTTCTGAAATCTAACATTTTTAACTTTAAAAAATTGTATCAATAATGTCTCTTTATTTACTTTAAAAGAATCAAAGGATAAATAACTCCCAGTCTGCTCAGTCATTGGCTACCCCAGTGGTTTCCGTAGCAACTCCTACTTTACCAGGACAAGGGATGGGAGGATATCCATCAGCCATTTCAACAACATATGGTACCGGTGAGTAGCTTTGCCATGTTCAGATAGTACATTAAATACTTTTTATTAAAAAGCAAGATTTAAAAAAAGATAGTACCTTTTAGTCTATTAGGAAGCTTTAGTTAGTACCTGTGATGTCCAGAGACCATACCATTACCTATTTGTTTCTAAGACAAAGTGAATATCCATATTTTTCTTTCTTAAGTGACTGAAAGTTTTATTAACCCAACCTGAATTCAATGTAAGAGACCAGATTCAAGGAAAATGAGCCACTATTTCTTTGATGTAGCAGAAAGCTCACTTTCTCAGGATTGTTTAAAAAACATTTCTAGATCATCAAATACATATATACTGTAGTGCCAGATTGTAGTTCGAATAAACCAATTTTGCAAGCTGTAGTACTTCAAAGCTTTCATGGAGTACGTATTTTGGGTATATGATATGTCTTTTTTAAATTAAAATTGTTCCTGATGCTTTGTCAGCCCTTCTGCCCCCAAAGTAAGAAAATTTACAGTAATCATTAAATAATACTAATAGAATATTTTTAAACTGGAAATGTTTATTTGCCGTTCGATAATTTTAAATTAAGCATTTTACTTCATTTTTTATTTATTGTTCTAGAGTACTCTCTGAGTAGTGCAGACCTGTCATCTCTGTCTGGGTTTAACACCGCCAGCGCTCTTCATCTTGGGTCAGTAACTGGCTGGCAACAGCAACACCTACATAACATGCCGCCATCCGCCCTCAGTCAACTGGGGTAAGCAATATTATTTCTTTTATAAAACACTTTGAGAATGTGTTCTTGAATGACAAAAGCGGTCTCTAAATACTGTGCTCTGGTGTCCCATTAAAAGATGTAAAATTCTACTTTATCAAAATGTGAAATTATCAGATCAGTATCTTTTCAAGTAGGTTAAATATTACTTTTCTTATATTTTAAGAGGAGCGGAGCTCTGTGATAATGAGATAAATTATTTCCCTATCGTTTTAAGCTATATTGGTTTCCACTTCAATCAGTGAAAAAAAATTCATAGTTAACTTTTCATATAGCTCATGTGGGACATAAGAAGACACTTATAAGTTCTTTAAATTTTTGAGATATTTGTGAATTCTTATCACTCAGCATTCACCACATAATGGATGCTAATCTTAGTATTTGTAGGATCTACTATTCTATTGATTTCATGTTTATAAAATACTCCTCATAAGGTTATATGTTTATAGATATCATACAAATATAAGTATATGTGTATAGATGCATACATATACTAATTATCTAAATTTGGGTATAAAAATAATTTCTGTTGTTTTCTGAAATCAGAATATGTGTATTTCTGCCCCCTTGTGGTTATTTTGAGAAATGTCTTTATTGGAAAAAAATGACTCCTGTCGTTTATCTATGGAAATGTTCAAACCTTTAAAAAGCCCCGAATTCGTAATTCACGCTACTTGTAAAACAGAGTTTTTTTAAGTTTAAAATGTGAATCAAAGATCTGACTTTAAGTTTAGTAACTTACTAACCAATTAATCTTCAGAAGAAAATATTAGGGAGGTATAAAATATTGAAACATGAGAGTTTATATTTTAGAAACATTCTATATATCTGCCTCACTTTTACTTCTCTTCTGAGCCATTTGGCTAAAATAGTTAGCTAGCTCTAGACTTCTGTTTCTAAAGACATAATGAGAATAAAACACTGATTAGAATAAAGATCACTGATTGACATCACAACTTCATCTCTTACCCTCCGTGCCCTCCTAGCTTTCTTGTTGAATTGATTTCACGTAGGCTAGTGCTCCAGTAATGCAGTCTTCTCCCATTCACTGTTTGCTTATGTGTATCCTGCTCACTAATCCTTATTGTTGAAAACCTGACCTGTCATGTAAGCAATAAAATAAATTCACATGACACTGTTGCTGTGCTTTCTTAAAAGATTAACTTTGAAGATCTATTAAATATTAGTCAGCAACAGAGTTTCTCTTTTTAGGAGATTTAAATTTTCTCAGAATTGTTAACTATGCAGGTAGACACTTACTGCAATAACTGTTTAAGCTAATTATCACTAACTGCACGATACCATCCAGGCCATCTTAAAACACATACATGCGGCATTGCACTGCCATGGCAAAGCAGTGAATCCACTGTACTTGCTTCTTGGCAAAAGTAAAGGCAGCTGTTCACTTCTCATTTTTCACAAAATTCATCCATTAGAGGACTAAATTTCCTTAGAAATTATCTATGTCAAAAAAAAGAAATTATCAATGTCAAAAGCCGTATTATTTTCTCTGAATATGGCTTTCTTTGTGTTTAGTAACACTTGATAATTTGCATTATATATATAAAACACATTTATGTATGTATTTTAACTATACTATAATCTTAAAAGTCCCCTAAATTACATGGGAAGGATCCAATTCTCTGCTGCCCTTAATAAAGGCTTCAGTCAATGAGAAAGGAGAGAACTGGCCTAGAGAGAAACCAAATTACGTCAGCCAAGGATGAAGCATTTTGTGTAGTTCCGGTTTCTTTCAACAACGGTTCTCATGGTGCATAATTTGACTCAGATTTAAGTCTAGGAGTTTTTATTGCACTTAATCACTTCCCTTATCCCTCAAATAGATAGGATACCCCTTCCAGTCCTTCTAATTTGGGCCAGCCTTCCTTCCTTGCTTTCCTTTCTTCCTTCCTCTCTTTCTCATTCTCTCCCTCTCTCTCTCTCTGTTTCACACACACACACACACACACACACACACACACACACACACACACACAGGGGTAGCTTTTTCAAAAGGAGTTTCCTTGAGAGGGAGTAGCCCATGTTCACATAATTGTTAAACTATCTTTTTAAATCCCAAGTTGTAATATCTATGTAAAATAAAATATGTGAGGTGCCTTAATTCCTGACAGTGTGAATTAATTTTAAAAATCAGTTTTTTTTTTTTTTTTAGGCTATAGTATCCTCATGTTCTTGTGTGGTGGGCTCACATTCCTTTGGATAGATACAGTGTTCAAAGTAGAGCAGAATATATTTCAGCTCCTCCAAAGTGAATATTCCCAGCAGCCCAAGATGGTCACCACAGTTCTTTTCTAAAATTAAGAGTGTAAAAGAGCTCTTCATGTTTTTTTTTTTTATGGAAATACCTTTAACTCTTTGAAGCTTTACTTTTAACTCTATCTAGTATCTGATTTTATCTAACTAAGTCAGATAGATGACATACTTTGATTTGATGTAGGAAGCAGAGTTGACTGGCAGAAGGAACTTGCCATCAAGGGTTAGTGACAGTCATTTGAATATGAATATTTGAGAAGATGCCCCTGAAATTTCTAAGTGTTTTTTTTTTTTCTCATATCACCTTAAGAAAAGGGCAGCCTGTTTTCTGGAAGCATTTCTATACACCATCTTTGTTGATGTGGGTGTTTAAAGACAACTTTTAAAAGGTTAAGTTAAATATAGTTTGATAGTCTAATTTCCGGGCGGAGGCAGTAAGAAATTTGAATAAAACTATCCAGTCATGTTTCATTTCTGAACAATTATGGGGAAGGGTAGGTGTTTTCCCAGTTGGAAGACATCTGTAGTAGATGAAAACCTGCAGCAGGATTTGATATGGGCAACTTGCATCTCTGGCTTCTGTCTCCCCACCCACCTCTTTCTCACCCACACACATGGAGTATTTCGCAATTACATGTCTATAAAAATTTTGTTCTCAAGAACAAGCAGACCAACATGCTTGTATCTGAATCTAGCATGTATACAGCTAAGTGATTTTTAATGCTTCTTCTTTTCAAGATAATAGTTTGATAACAGAGACTAGCCAATTACATTTCATTCTATTTGGAATCCTATACCACAGTATAATGAAGCTGAATCTCATTCATCACGTACATTTCATTACTGTGGATTTAGTGTCCCCAGAACTACTCAAAATGCTTCATTTATGCTTTCAGTGTCAAATGAAATGCCATCAAAAAGAAAACTTAGGATCTAGCCTATTTGTTTATAGGAAGAGATAAACAATAAGTGTTAATCTCTTATGGGGAAAAGATGCAGCAACACCTATACAAGCCAGTTCACAATGGGAGATACAGTAAATGAGTAGATGATGCAGCTTCTAAAAGCTGTATGAAACAAACAGCATCTTGATTATACTATTTTTTCTTTGATTTATCCAGATTAACTTCTTATACTAGTCCAGCTCACCAAATTTTTTTCTAATTGTCCATGTTCTCCCTGCCTGCAAAGAAGCAATCTAAATGTCAAAGGGCAGTCAAAAGTATTTGTAGATATGCCACTTTGTTTTCAGACTCCTAATTGACGTTCATTATTAAAAAGTGTGTGATTCGTGGTAGAAGCATTTAATTAAATTTTAGTGAAATAGTCTTTCTTATCGAGAGCCAGGAAAATTCTTTCTTCCAGAAATCAAAAGATGATTTCCTCTGACATCAAAACGAATCATTAAGTAACTTTGAACCAAGATAAAATAGTCCCACCACTATGGGTCCATTTGAAATACAGGGGTTTCCCCCCACTCTGTCTTAATATCTTCTTGATTTGAAGATTATTTAATTAAACTTGTAAAAAATTACTAATATAGACTGTAAAATAAAAACCACAAACAAATGATGACGAGTATAAGCAGGTGATTTGACAATCATAGGCACTCAATGTGGTAACTTGATATAAATGTTAAGACTGTTTTGATTTTATAACATAAAAGCCAGAGAAAGAAAGGCTTAATAGGGAGTCCAGTAATTCTCCTTTAGGTCATTCTAGACATTAGCTCATCTATTAATAAGAGAAGGAAAGTAATTCTTTGCCAGTAGGTGGTGCTTTTGTATAAAACATCACTCAAAGATAAACTCATTTTGACTAATTTTATATCTCTATACATCTTGAGCCTGAAGTGCATCTCCCAAAAAGCCAGCCCCAAGTTAATTCCACTTTTTCCTCTGAAATATATACCCATTCTCTCACTGCTCATAATGACTTTTTGTCATCTAATTCTCTCCATTTGGAAGTTAACATAATCACATCCATGAATAGACAGACTCACTTTCCTTTGTTTGAACGGGGGTATTTGTATGGATTAGTCTTCACTGTGACTCCTCACTAGAAGAGAGATCTGTACGTTCTTGACAATATGGGCAGGTAATGCTGACTCTAGCCACGAATGTCAGTGCGATCAGAATCCAAGAGCAGTAAGAGCATCTTAAAATTGATGTCGGCAGTGTTCTTCTGGTTTATCCTGATCAAAGTCCTTGCAGTTGCTAATCTACACTTAAGGGCTTAATGCTTTTCCCTCCAGAGCTTCAAGTACCTAAATTCTTCCACATTTTGGAAGAAGGGAAAGTTACACTCTCCTGGAATAAATGAGGATTAAGGCTTATAAACACAATAAAATCACACCAGATCCTTCTTTACAACAGCCTTAGACAATCCAGATTCCTCAGCTCATTCCAATTATAACTCTAAGATGAGTGATACCCTACTAAGTACCCCAGCAGGGAGAGCCTCGCAGTAATGAAGTTGAGGTATTTGTGGGAAAGAGTCGCTACTTGCATCCCACGTAGCTGCAAAAGGATGAAGGCAGCCTATTGACCAGTCTTAGTGGCGTAGGAAGTCAAAGTGTTTTTAAGCCAACGCTAAACTGTCCTGCAGATAATTTTCACCCTGCTTCCCATCGTATCCCCCTCCAAGCTCTTCACCAGATACAGTTCAATGTAGCATTTCATGGATTCATTCATTTGAAATTTGAACTCTCTTCACTTTCTCTGAAGATCATACAACTTCACGTGTATGTGCTTATTACATGGAGAGAAGCATTTGTATCCGTAACAGGCTTTTTCCAATCATTTCCACACACGGGCATTAGGAAATCAAAGGGGTCTCATTCAAAAGCTCAATGTTGTATCTTAAATCTTAGGTTATAGTTTGGAACTAGTCTAGGGAGAAATCCCATGGACACAGAAAATGCTTTTTCCAGCATGTGGTGTGTTAAGCCTTTCTGAGCCAGTAACCTGGATGTGTAGGGAGCCTGTCAGAGACTAGAGGTCTGATTCACGAGGCCTGGCCCTGGGAAATCCTGGGAAATCCTGTAATTACTCCCAGGCATTGGCAGTGGCTCTGAGAAGGCGCTGCCCCCCGAGGGCTTCCAAGCACTGCTCTCCTCCCTCTGGGCATGCTCCGGTGTCTATGCGAGTCTTGAAGCTGATGTTTGATGTAATTGTGAGTTCCTGGGGGCTCCAGGCCTCCTCCATCTGTAACTGGGTTTCCTTTCCTCCTACAGAGCTTGCACTAGCACTCATTTATCTCAGAGTTCAAATCTCTCCCTGCCTTCTACTCAAAGCCTCAACATCAAGTCAGAACCTGTTTCTCCTCCTAGAGACCGTACCACCACCCCTTCGAGATACCCACAACACACGCGCCACGAGGCGGGGAGGTCTCCTGTTGACAGCTTGAGCAGCTGTAGCAGTTCCTACGACGGGAGCGACCGAGAGGATCACCGGAATGAATTCCACTCCCCCATTGGACTCACCAGACCTTCGCCGGACGAAAGGGAAAGTCCCTCAGTCAAGCGCATGCGACTCTCTGAAGGATGGGCAACATGATCAGATTATTACTTAATAGTTTTTTTTTTTCTTGCAGTGTGTGTGTGTGCTATACCTTAATGGGGAAGGGGGGTCGATATGCATTATATGTGCTGTGTGTGGAAAAAAAAAAAAGTCAGGTACTCTGTTTTGTAAAAGTACTTTTAAATTGCCTCAGTGATACAGTATAAAGATAAACAGAAATGCTGAGATAAGCTTAGCACTTGAGTTGTACAACAGAACACTTGTACAAAATAGATTTTAAGGCTAACTTCTTTTCACTGTTGTGCTCCTTTGCAAAATGTATGTTACAATAGATAGTGTCATGTTGCAGGTTCAACGTTATTTACATGTAAATAGACAAAAGGAAACATTTGCCAAAAGCGGCAGATCTTTACTGAAAGAGAGAGCAGCTGTTATGCAACATATAGAAAAATGTATAGATGTTTTGGACAGACCCGGCAAAGGGTGGCCACTGGTAAATGTTAGGAACACACCAGGTCACCTAACATCCCGAGAACGCGCTCACAAACCTGCACGCATATCATTGGCGTATGGCACTCATTAAAAAGGATCAACGACCATTAAAAGAGGACCATACCTATTTAAAAAAAAAAAATGTGGAGTTTGAGGGCTAACGTATTTAATTAAATAAATAAATAAATCTGGGTCTGCATCTCTTATTAAATAAAAATATAAAAATATGTACATTACATTTTGCTTATTTTCATATAAAAGGTAAGACAGAGTTTGCAAAGCATTTGTGGCTTTTTGTAGTTTACTTAAGCCAAAATGTGTTTTTTTCCCCCTTGATAGCTTCGCTAATATTTTAAACAGTCCTGTAAAAAACCAAAAAGGACTTTTTGTATAGAAAGCACTACCCTAAGCCATGAGGAACTCCATGCTTTGCTAACCAAGATAACTGTTTTCTCTTTGTAGAAGTTTTGTTTTTGAAATGTGTATTTCTAATTATATAAAATATTAAGAATCTTTTAAAAAATCTGTGAAATTAACATGCTTGTGTATAGCTTTCTAATATATATAATATTATGGTAATAGCAGAAGTTTTGTTATCTTAATAGCGGGAGGGGGGTATATTTGTGCAGTTGCACATTTGAGTAACTATTTTCTTTCTGTTTTCTTTTACTCTGCATACATTTTATAAGTTCAAGGTCAGCTGTCAAAAGGATAACCTGTGGGATTAGAACATATCACATTGCAACACCCTAAATTGTTTTTAATACATTAGCAATCTATTGGGTCAACTGACATCCATTGTATATACTAATGAGTTTCTTTCATGCTATTTTGTTTTTGTTTTTGCATTATTATCAAATGCAGGGCCCCTTTCTGATCTCACCATTTCACCATGCATCTTGGAACTCAGTAAGTGCATACCCTAACTTGCCCGTATCCTAAATTATCTGGTTGGTTTTCAGCCTAGAATCTGAGACACTTTTTAGAAACATGCCCAGAATAGAAAAGCTGTGTTGGGGCACATGTCCTGCAAATATGGCCCTAGAAACAAGTGATATGGCGTTTACTCGACGCATAAGTTATAAATTCCCACAGAAGAAAAATGTGAAAGACTGGGTGCTAGACAAGAAGGAAGCAGGTAAAGGGATAGTTGCTTCGTCATCCATTTTTAGTTATTTTAACTGACCCTCAACAATCTTGTCAGCAATATAGGGCTGTTGAACAATCCCGGTGTGTCAGGACCCCCAATTGTCACTTCTGCATAAAGCATGTATGTCATCTATTTTTTTTCTTCAATAAAGAGATTTAATAGCCATTTCAAGAAATCCCATTAAAGAACCTCTCTATGTCCCTTTTTTTAAATTTTTCAAGAAATAACGATGACTCTTGTCTAATATTCGTCTATAAGGGATTAATTTTCAGACCCTTTAAAAAGTGAGTGCCATAAAAAAAAAGTTGATATATATTGTTTAAAAGAGATTTCAATCTAGGAGTGATTTTCCTTCTCTTGGAATGTGAAGATCTGTCGATTCATCTCCACTCATGTGCATTGACATACACAGCAACGAAGATCCAGACAGTAAGATCGACACTGCTATCGCACGTGTAGGACATTTCTTATCCATTCTTTTCTTTCACTTGCATAGTTGCTATGTGTTTCTCACCATAAAAGGCTGCCGCTGGGTGGCAAAAGCCAAGAGACCTTACTAACTAGGCTGTATTTTTCTTAACTTGATCTGAAATCCACAATTAGACCACATCACACCTTTGGTTGTATCCATATAGGATACTAGCCTGCCTTGTATTAACGTTTTGTATACTAAAAACAAAAGAAAAAATGTCTATCAACCTTTCCATATATCCCACTACTTGAGGTATCCATGGAACATGAAAGAAAAACATTTATGCAGAGGAAAAACAGAGGATCATCCCTGAAAACACACACACACACACACACACACACACATGCGCGCGCACATACATATTCACACTGGGGGGAAATCTAAGAAAGTCATTTTCCTCACCATAGACTTGATCCCATCCTTACAACCATCCTTATAACTTAATGTGTATAAAATATGCAAACATGTCACAAATGTTCTTTGTCATTTCAAAACACTTTATCAATATCAGCAGAAATTTACCAGTGGGTGGGAAAGGGTCATTATGTGAAAATATGAAAAAATAGCCATACTAATTTTTTTACCTGCAATTTGCCTCAGCAACAAAGGAAAAGTGAATTTATAATGCTGAAGATAAAGTAAGCTAAAGTACCAGCAGAAGCCTTGGCTATTTATAGCAGTTCTGACAATAGTTTTATAAGAACATGAAAAAGAACAGAATCACTTGAAAATGGTTGCCAGTCATCTCTTGTTCCCGCTACTGAATTCATATAAAGTGGTAGCAAGAAAGCGAAGGGATAATCTGAGAATTTTTTAAGATGATTTAATGAGAAAAAGCACAATTTTGATTGTGATGAGTCACTTTCTGTAAACAATCACTGTCTATCTTTACCCTTCTACCTTATCTGTAATTTACCATTTATTGTATTTGCAAAGCTAGTATGGTTTTGGGTTTTTATCACGGTAAATCCTTTGTATTCAGGAGTTTAGGGCAGAGCCCTGAGGGAGTCTTATTTTACATAACCCATCCTAGAGTAACATTTTAGGCAACATTCTTCATTGCAAGTAAAAGAACCATAAGTAGCGTTTTACACAGCTACAGATATTGTTATAGCTAATCCTATTTTCAAAGATTTTTGGTAATATTAAGCTTAAATACTGGTAACACTGATGCAATATAGGGAAGCTGCACAACCTGTATATTGTATGCATTGGTGAGTGGAAGGCTGTTCATTTCAACCTTTTTTAAAATTGTGTTTTTTAGTAAAATGGCTTATTTTTTTCCCAAAGGTGGAATTTAGCATTTTGTAATGATGAATATGAAAATACCTATCATCCTCAGATCATTTTAAGGTTGACTAAAGTGAGAAAAAAAAAGAATTCCAATACACTCTTTAAAAGAATGTCTGCCCTCTCACACTATTATGTATTTGTTTTTCTTACATACCCATCTTTTAATTTAGAGCTAGCGGGTTTTTTTTTTTTTTTTGCCCCCTTTATGCTTTTGTTTATTTTTCCAGAGGGTAAATGCTTTGTATTTTCTTTCTTTAAAAAAAATTCTTTTTTTAAAGAAGCAGCCACTTGAACCCTCAATAAAGGCTGTTGCCTAAGCATGGCATACTTCATCTGTTCCCATTTGTGCCATCTGCTGTGATGTCGTCACTTATATGGCGTTAATTTCCTGCCACTACAGATCTTTTGAAGATTGATGGAATACTGGTGTCTGTTAGAATGCTTCAGACTACAGATGTAATTAAAGGCTTTTCTTAATATGTTTTAACCAAAGATGTGGAGCAATCCAAGCCACATATCTTCTACATTCAATTTGTCCATTTTGGTTATTTTTCATAATCGGGTATTGCATTTTGCCTTCCCTATTCATACCTCAAATTGATTCATACCTCAGTTTAATTCAGAGAGGTCAGCTAAGTGATGGATTCTGTTGTGGTTAGAATGCAGTACCAGTGTTCTCTTGGAGCAAAGTAAACCTGGGTCACTGTAGGCATAGGACTTGGATTGCTTCAGATGGTTTGCTGTATCATTTTTCTTCTTTTTCTTTTTCTGGGGACTTGTTTCCATTACATGACAGTAATTAAAATAGCTTGTAAATGAGGGCATACAAGCATTTGCAACAAATATTCAAATAGAGGCTCACAGCGGCATAAGCTGGACTTTGTCGCCACTAGATGACAAGATGTTATAACTAAGTTAAACCACATCTGTGTATCTCAAGGGACTTAATTCAGCTGTCTGTAGTGAATAAAAGTGGGGAATTTTCAAAAGTTTCTCCTGCTGGAAATAAGGTATAATTTGTATTTTGCAGACAATTCAGTAAAGTTACTGGCTTTCTTAGTGATGCAGTGTCTGTGGTGCATTTTTTTTTTATTAATGTTTTGCTGTTTAAATTTATTCCACTTTCTCGTGTTTGTGAAAAGCAGCTTCTCCCACAAATGCAAGTGAGCATTCTGAGTTTCCAGCTCAAAATACTTAGAAAAGGGGGAAAATTTGTGTTTTGGAGGGAAGGGTGTAAATTGGATCACTTTTCTTGGGGTGATATATGGACTCAGCCAGTGTAAGCAGTTCAACGTTCTTATCAAGTGGTTCAACTTGTTGTTTTTTTTTTTTAATTTAAATTCAGTTAGCCAACATATACTACATCATTGATTTCAGATGTAGTGTTCAGCAATTCCTTACTGGCATATAACACCCTCAATTTCTTTATCAAAATAGTTCCACAAAGATCTTGGATAACTTGCTTAAACACAGAGATTTTTCCAAAAGTCATTCTTTTTTTTTTTTAATTTTTTTTTTAATTTTTATTTTATGATAGTCACACACACACACACAGAGAGAGAGGCAGAGACACAGGCAGAGGGAGAAGCAGGCTCCATGCACCGGGAGCCCGACGTGGGACTCGATCCGGGGTCTCCAGGATCACGCCCTGGGCCAAAGGCAGGCGCCAAACCGCTGCGCCACCCAGGGATCCCATCCAAAAGTCATTCTGAAAAGCACTACCATACAGTAAAATAAATTATTTATAAACTAAGATGTGTAGAAAGTATTTCTCCAGATGTATTTTTTTTCTTCATCAAAAATAGTTTCTTTAGGGGCGCCTGGGTGGCTCAGGTGGTTAAGCATCTGCCTTCAGCTCAGGTCATAATCCCAGGGTCCTGGGATCGAGCCTCACATCAGCTCCCTGCTCAGAAGGGAGTCTGCTTCTCCCTCTCCCTCTGCCCATCCCCCACCAGCTTGTTCATGCTTGCTCTGTCACTCTCTCAAATAAATAAATAAAATCTTTAAAAAAAATAGTTTATTTAAGCAAAACAAAAGAACCATAGGCTTTTATCTAAATTCTTGAAAAAAATAGTAAACTCATAATTTTTTGAAACTTAATATACGCATTACCAAAATTCAATGATAATTTCCAAAGGAAATGTCCTTAGAAAGACAACAAAAAGACTAATTTAGGAACTGAAAGGGAAAACAAGAAGGCACTGGCCAGCCACCTGCAGAATTTGGGCTAGTGGGCTAGGTGGTTCCTGCTCTGATGGAAAAAAGAATGCAGCCTGGAGAAGCATTGCATGTGGCTTCGAGATAGCCGTGCTCTTATCTCTGTTCTTTTTATTCATTGTCAGTAAATATTTATTAACCATTTATTATGTGTAATTCATGTGGTGACTCCTAGGATGAATGAAGATATAGCCTTTGCTCTTAAGAAAAAAGTTATCATCTATTATAAACTAATAGATTAAAAGACTCATAGGGAGTAGAAACTGTTCTCAGAGACTTCTGCAAAGTGCCAGGAGGGAACCACTTGAGAGATGTGCGGAGAGGAGCAGAGCACGGACACTTCCTAATCTGCCCAGCAGAGGCAGCCTTAGACTTGTCTTTGGAGGGTGAGTAGGCTGGAGAAAGGCCCAGATGGGCGAGGGCAGGACTAATTAGTGGACATGTGACCTCTGCGGTCACACATGGCCCCACACTTAGTTTCATGCTCTACTGTCACCATCTTGATAATTTCATCTTTGAGTCTTATCTGTAAGTGAAGTCTGATTATGTGAGGAGATACATAGAAAAAAATGGAAAGCTTTTTAGTAACCTTCAAAGCATCTTTTCCCTGCTTTTTTTGAAAAAGGGACATTTCCATTTCACACTGAGCCCCACAATCTATGACTAGTCCTAGATGAGGACATTCTATAGGAATAGAATTCTATAGGAGGAAATAATAGTTATAAAGGCACAAAGTTGGGAAAACAAGAGAAAAATTGACAGGAATGGTGGCCCATCCTGTTTGGATAAAGCATGGCCATGTGTAGGTGTCGGAGAAGGTCATGGAGAGGACGTGACAGCCGAACTCCAAGCTGGACCCAGACAATCGGAGCGTCCTCACCCCCGTCCCTGTCTGTAGAAGGTACAGTCCCCACCACCATTCCCATAGCGGAGCCACTTCCAAGGACACAGCCTTGAGAAAGCAACGTGTTGTTGAGTCCAGCTGGATGGTAGGCCTGACTGAATGCCTAGTTAATTAAAGCCACTATAGAAACTTAAGATCCTGGCAGGGTGGTGTGGGGATTTACTAGTCTTACCCCATCAAGGACCAGCTTCATAGATAAGTCCCCTTGCTTAGTACCCCTGCCACCTGCTGATCTGGAGTGCTCTGCCCCTTTGTTCTCTCCTTGCTCTGCATGTACAGGAGCCAGTTTTAGATTTCACCCAGGAAGCTCCCAAGTTTTTGAACAAACAGCAGAGGAGCAATAAGAGACAAGACTGGAAGAGTTGTCCGGGATCTGATTGCAAGTTAAGAAGTCTGGGGTTTAAGCAATTAAATGAAAGATTTAGAAGAGATGGAACTGTCAAAATTCAGAAAGTGATGAGATTAATGGCAGGTACGATGATAGAAAGACCTGTAAAGTTTACAGTTTTAAGCTTAAATGATTAGGAACATAGTAATGTCCAGAGGGCAAATGGAGAAGAGCTTGCTGCCATGTGAGGAAGGTAACTAAGTCACTTTCCAGCATGTTGGGCTTCACTTCCATATCCAAGTAGCAGATGAGAATGCTGTAAATGCAGACTTGAGCTCAGGATACCGGTTAATGCTGAAGATAAAGCTTTGGATGTTATTAACAGGGAAATAACAGTGAACACCATGACCATGAAATGGACTTGTCAAGGGGAAGGTCAAGGGTGACGGAAGAAGTAGGCTTAGAAGGGAATGTTGTGAGGGGCGACCATAGAGAGGAAAGAACCTGTGAGGTCAAGGAGCATTCAGGCAGAAGGAAAGCCAAAGTATGCTCTCAAGGCAAGAAGAGGTTCCAAGGTTAAAAAAAAAAAAAACAAGGTCAAATGTTGTGTTAGGATCACAAAGAAGGGCAATGGAGAAAGGGACACTTTGGCCTCGGGTGTTCTCTAAGAATCATTTCAATAAAATGGTGTGGGAGAGAGGCTGTCTAGCAGATGTTGTGAAATTTCGGGCAGCAGGTGTGAACAAATCTTTCACAAGATTTGTGATTAAAAGAAGTGAGCTGGCGTGAGGGGCCAGCAGAGCCAAGGGTAAAGGAGAAGGTTGTGAAAAGGCCAGGCGGCACCGGGGCATGTTTGTGGGTCAGGGGAGACCTCAGGGAGCAGGAGCAGACGTGAACCATCCCCACCAACAGCCAGAGGATTACGTTTTGTGCCCCTAGGCCCAATTCCTACAGGATTCCTTCATTTGAGAGGTGTTTGGGAGTCTGAGTTACTAAATCTGGTAAAGGAAAATTATTCGACCAGAGTTTCTGAGTGTTGGTTTTGTGAATTAAGTCCTTTCTCCACTCTGTGTGCATGTCCCTGTGGCGTCTTCCCTGTCCTTACGGATCGACTTCTAGCCGTGGCTGTGATGAAAGAGGAAAGCCAAGCGGGCTTCCCTCTGGTTGTTTCCCTTGAATTCCCACTGTTCTTACTTCCTGAGAGCAACTGGCTCTATCAGCAAAAATAAAGCTATTCCTTCACCCTCTCCTCTCGCAGGCAGAGGTTACAGTCATGAAAACACAGAGGAGGTGCTCCTAGGTTCTGGGTCCAGAGTAGTTCCTGGTTTTGGTGGCCTCCTCGCCAGACCACCAGCTCCATCACACCCAGTTGACGGGCTCAGACTCGAGGAACAATCTCTAGTCCTGAAATCCTCAAGCCTAGCAGCCAACTTCTACTCTAGGGCCAAATGGTGATGACAGTCACCCTTTGAATCCGGTAACTTGGGCAAGAGCCAGGTGGAAAGGACACAGGAACTACCAGTGGGGCGACTCCAGCATGAGCAGAAGGTAGTTCAGAAAGCCCTTTACCCAACACTCCACCACCAGAAATCCTGGCTCCATGTCAGTTCCCTTGCCCTGCCCTCCCTTCCTTAATGAGAGCACCAATGCCAGGAAGGTTGCTTGGCCCAGGCGACCTGAGACAACTGACGCTGAGGCTGGTGTGTGAGGCAAGGCAAGCTGCTGACATATATTGAGTACCTTTCCACCAAGGGCTTGACCTACCTTACCTCCCTGCTCCATGACACTAGATGCAATTTTTCCAGAGTCATCCAGCCTCGTGGTCGATAATCAGACCAACTTTATCCCTCCCACGCTAAGAAGGATCTGTCAAGTGAGATCTAGGTATCGATTTTCTCACCTATCACTAAACTCAGAGGGCTGCTCTGAAGCCCAATTAAGATGTTGGTAGTTCCTAAGCACTGACGAGATCAGCATCCCTACTCCCCCACAAGTTACTCAAAATAAACATGAATCTACTCTCTAAAGTTATGGCAAAAGAAGGCAACACAGTCCCGATTTTTCCTAGGATGACTACAATGTACATTTTTATTTCTTAGCAATATCACATTCTTTCCCCGAAGGCCATGTGGCATGCCCCTGCCCTGCTTCGTGGTACGCCCCTGCAGAGAACACAGTCTACTTACACAGAAAGCTGCGCTCCGCAGGACTCATCCTAAAGCTTCCCACTAGTGATACTAAGTGTATCAACACAGAGAAACCTTTCTAGAAGCAGTAGATATGGTAAGAGACTAAGTCCTCCAGCATTTATCCTGTAAATATTCCACCTGGTGTATGTTTGCTTCTCTTTACTGATAAGAGCCCTGCTTGAATGTGCAAACCTGTTTGTTTTCAAAAGTCTACATTTGCAGTATCTATGATTAAAATATGGAGAAGGTGCCCACTGATAAAGGAATATTTAAGCCATTCGTAATATATCAATGCAATGAAATACTATGCACCAGTTTAAAGAAACCAAACGAAACAGCCTCTATGTACTGGAAATGTTCAAGAATAAATTGTTAGATTAAAAAAGCAATAATGAGGGCAGCCCGGGTGGCTCAGTGGTTTAGCG